TGAGGGCACGTGCAGACACGGCAGCTCATCTGCCGCACCTTCTGTGTCACGGCACTGCTGCGGAGGGCGGTGCCGTGGGGGCAGTACCTGCACCGGACCTGCGAGCGATAAGCAGGAGCAGGGCCGGGGGCGGGGGCGCCCAGCGCCGTCCCCCGGGCCCTGGCCCGGGATTACCACATGGAAATGACATCACCCGCAGCCAATCCCGCGGCCCCGGGGGTGCAGCTGGAGGGAGGCCATACCCCACTTAAGTAACAAGACATGACATACCATGTGCTAATGCTAAATAATTTATCCCTCAGGCATACAGTGAATTGCAAAGCCAAGCTGAGGCCTGGTCAACAGTTTGTAGTTTAAATTAAAATTGGCTTTTCTGCCTTAAAGGGAGGGAGGGGATTGTCAGCTGTTGTGCTCGAGAGTGGAACACAGCAATCCCTTTTTTTGTCTTCGCTTCACTTCTTTCTCCAGTTACAATTTGATCTAATCAAAGCCCTTTTTGGTGAGTTGGGGGGTGTGCTCCACATATCTCTATTATGAAGGAGATGTAAGGTGGAAAATCTGAGGGGAAGTTTTAAGTCACTCTGAATAATGATATCCAATATATCCTCCAAATTTAGGCGTTAGCACTTGTCATGTTCTAAACCAGAGCTACTCCAAAACTGGGTGTTTCGTGTTACAAATGTTGTGTGGGTGTTTCCGTAGCAGAGCCATAAATTTGTCTCATTAGGAATCTGGAGGCATCAGTTGGTGCTGAGGCCGAAGCTCAGGCCCAGCCCCTCTGAGGGTGCAGTGAGCCCGCAGCACACGCAGGCTGGGTGTGACCTTGACCACAGCTCTTGCTGGTGGCTACTGGAACTCTCCCTGCAGCCTTCCCAGCTCAGCAGCCCAGCCAAGCTTGGCCACACCTTTGACATTTGTTGCTATACCGAGCTGATTTTACTTAAATATGCCAAACAAGATTTCCACTGAAACCACAGGAAGCTGAATGTGGTCAGCGCCTTCCACATTCCGTCCTTACACAGCATCTTACAAACATGGTGGCTCAAATATTGTTTAATCTTCCAGTCTACTCTTGATCAAGAAATGAACAGTTGCAATATACACCGTGTCGGTGGGAAGGAGGTAGCAATTGCCTTGTAGTTATTTTAGGAGAAGAAATTAAAAGGACCTCTGGCCCAGAGAATAAGTCAGAATATATTTACCTAATCTCTACATGTTTGGCAAGTTAAAACCTGGAGAGCATGAAGTGGTACAGAGTTAAAAAGAGCATGTGGAAAAAAATACAAAACAAATTGGTGGTGTCTCGGAAGGTCTTGAGGGAATTCAGCTTTATTGCCACAACAGCACACTTTTCCGTGTGCAATTACTTGTTGTCATGGAAATGGATTTTGAAGATTTCTCTTATTTTGGATGCTGCAAAGCATGCTTAATTCAATTAAGAGGTTGCCCTTGATTTTTCCCTTCCCATATTTGTTTACTTATCTAGGTTCTTGTATGACTGTCAGCCCAGTGTCCGAGTTCCTCTTAGATAACATAAAGAAACAAAGAAAACCGCTGGAAAAAAATATAGCAGCAGCTAAAAAATCAATATATTATTTATTTTCTAAGTTATGCAAGTTCATAGTGTGCATTCTGTGACAGAGAAAGCCCTTCTGCTAATAATTTCAACCTTGGCAAAAATGCATTTCTGCAATTGATCATTCTGTTTTTAATCCAGCATTTGTACAATGCTGGAGTGTAACAAAGCCTTTGCATCTAAATCCAAGTAGGAACAGAATTTGGCAAATCTAATTCCTTCCTGGATTTTCGCAGCTCTACTTCCTATAGGAAGTTTTTAGTCAATGGGAAACAAAGGCTTATTGAAAGGATTAAAGTTGCAACTATTCTCTTTGTTTTAGAGCTTCAGTCACGGTTTTCCTCTAGTAAACAACATTTGCAATTAATAAAACTTCTAAAAAAACAGGAACTTTGGGGAAGTACGTGCTTATGATAAGCAGCAGGATTTCTTTTGACAGAACTCTATACAAAGGTGTAGTCTTTTTATGTTCAGACAATGACAACAATTGAGTTTCTCAAAGCATTTTAGAAGCGTTCCTCCCAATAAACACTACACAAGGAACTCTGCAATCAGGGATGGGCAGCACATTTAAATAGGATATATCTTGTCAACAGTTTGTGTGTCCCAAAATTGTTTTAAATCGCTGCACACAGCTCACATTTCATATCATGCCTACACCCCCCAATCATGTGTTGCACAATATCTGTGCACACTGAACATGCAATGCTGCAGATATTTCTGACCTGTTACCCATAAATTGTTTACTGGTTCCTTTATGTGATGCTTGGCAAAGGCATTTGGATAGCAGTTATCTGTGCCTGATTAAGGACACATGGAATATTTAATCTTTGTAATTTACTTTTTACTGGGTTTAATGTCATGAAATATGCGTATTTTCATGTTTACATCAGCTGTATTTCTCTTACTCGCTGTATGTGTTCAGTCCCAAGGAATTCTCTCCTGCCAGAGGGAAACTGATGGAAGCGCATTAAGTTTGGTGGGGGCCCTCCCTGGAGGGCAGTGTGGAGCCGCCGGCT